ACACACACACACACACACACACACACACACACACACACACACACACACGAGCATGAGATTTTTGCTGATGGCTATCTCTGGGAGGTAAAATAGGAGTGGGAAAGGGAGTGGGAGATTTTTACTGTTGTTTCTACACATCAAGATGTTAGAAGAAAGAGTTGTAGGATAATAGATGGCTTTTACTCTCAATTTTAGGCATTTCTGTAACTTACAGGTTTTCTGTAATGAAATGTGTCTCTTTTGTAATCAGAAAAAAATAGATTACTAATTGTTCTAGCCTGGGTTCCCCCAGAAAGCAGAACCTAAGGCAAATACTTCTTCAAAGTACTTTTTCAGCAAGTGCAATCTGAGGAAAGCAGGAGTGGTGAAAAACGGAGTGAGGTAGGGAAGACAAGAGCACCACTATGAGGTGTGTTTTGAAGCTGGCCACCAGTAAGTGCAATTGACTGCTCAATCTCCCAGGCCATCCTCCAGGAAGTTATATAAACTGAGTGTCTCAGGACATTCCACCCAGAGGCATAAGGGAGAAGAATTTTTCTACCAGTTTCTTCCTCCCATCTGTCAAATTCACCCGACAGGGATGTAGGTCCCCTGCAAGTCTGTGGTGTGCATGGTGGGTACTGAGAGAATCCCATAGCACCTAGTGCCTTACATCAACAGAAAAGCCTCAGGGCAGCAGGGAGAGGTGAGCGGCATAGGTAGGAGCTGCGGGGCTGTCTGTTGGTGCAAAAAGTTTTTTCTGAATCTCATCTGTGGCTGGGGCTGGGACCAAAGGGCCTGGAGACAAGCTAGTGCAAGAAGATCTGAAGCCGCTCATTAAATGTATCGTATTCACCAACGGAAATAACTCACTAAGGATGATGGCCCTACATATCACACCAAAAAAACTGTCCTGAAATAGTTGGGAACACCCCACAGTGGCTTACACATTAAAATCAACTTTCTATTGTGAAAACCTGATACAGCAAACTAAACACCAAGGAATCTGGGTGGATAGAAGCACAGCATTTCTTTCCAAAATGCCTATCCCAGTGGAAACAGATCTCTGAGGTGCTGGAGATGTACTGGAAAAATAAAACTAAGAAGGAAAATAAACTGAGTGAAGCAAATCAGAATGGAGTCAAAGCCCAAAGCCTGCACTCAAGGATCTCTTAGGGGCGTTTTATAAAGAAAAAAACCAAAACCAAAACCAAACCCATTGCCTTGGAGTTGATTCCGACTCATGGAGACCCCATGTGTTGCAGAGGAGAACTGCCCTCCATAGTGTTTTCAAGGCTGTCACCCTTTGGAAGAAGATCGCTGGACTTTTCTTTCGAGAGGTCTCTGGATGGATTAGAACCCCCAATTTTTATGGTTAGTAGGTGAGCGCTTAACCATTTGCATCACCTAGAGACTCCTAAAAACGTGTAGAGGCTTGTATTCGTGTTTCTAAAATTTGTATTAAAGAGGTAGAGGGAATGATCTCAAGGAAAGGGGATCCTCAAAATCTTTATGTCTTTATCCTGAAAGAAAGGCAACATATAAAGAGAAACACGTTTATCTGCTGGAAGAATGTGAATACCAGGAAGAATACAGGCCTGTATACATATTGTTTAAAGGGGAAGGAAGGAAATGTACTAAACTTCAGTTTCTTTACAGTCATCAGCTCTACACTGATTTTATTTTAATCTGGATACTACTGAACAAATTGAGCAGGGATTGATGAATAATACGTAGATGAGACATTTTCTACATTCATACAGTATCCTTTCAAAACGAATTCTTTTACTTTAAAGAAAATATTTAAGTGTTAATATTCTTTAAGAAACATTCTGCATAAATTCTGCACAATGAAGAAATTCAATTATTGAGGTATTTGAAATATGCAGAAAATGATCTAAAAGTTTTATAATTAATGTGTAACAAATATTTGGTTTCAATGCATTAAAGGGTTTTGCGGAAGACTAGACATAATGAATACAATAATGAAGATAGTGCAGTCTTTAAACAACAAATGTTTCAATTTCAGGGAGGAGAGCTATGAAAGCTACTACAGAAAACATGGTCTGTGTAATCATATAACTGGGGCAAATTCTTGAATATCAAGGGCTTGGTTATAGTCAGCCATAGCTTCCTCAATCAAACCTATTTTACCACGAACTTCTGCTCTAAGACTGTATGCTAGAGCATCATTAGGCTTCAAAGACAGAGCTGCAAAAGAAGAAGGTAAATGTCAAGATATGTTTTATGCTAGCACTCAAAAATAGTCTCATTTAAAAAAAATAAAAACTATATAAAAATTTTATTACTTATTTGAAAACACTTTTTTCTTCCAATGTAACTAATTATTTAGTTAAGTCAAAAATACTGAATCTTTCTATAAAGGTAACTCGGGAAACACAGAACAGTCCTCTTTGAGGACAGGCTGACACATTGCAGGGAGTGCAACCTATGTCATGCAACAATTTGTGTATAAACTATTCAATGGGAAACTAATTTGCTCTGTAAACCTTCACCTAAATCACAATTTTAAAAAAGATGATAAATTTTACTGTTGTTGTATTACTATGCAACAATAGTTTTTTTTTAATTAAAAAATATACAAACACAAATAAGTTACTTTGATCTCTATATCTAAAAAAAAAAAATCTTTGAAAGGCTGATATTGTTTGTGTATAGTTTCCTAATAATTCTCTGTATCTCAGCTTAAACCTAAAAAAAAAAAAAAACTAAACCTGTTGCCGATGAGTCGATTCCAACTTCTTACAACCCAGAGGACAGGATAGAACTACTCCACAGGGTTTCCAAGGAGCGCCTGGTGGATTTGAACTGCCGACCTTTCGGTTAGCAGCCAAGGTCTTAACCATTAAACCACCAGAGCTCAGCTTACCAAAGCTTTAAATTAAGATATTACATAAAGGAATCTATATTGATTACAATGAAGGCATGATATCTATAAACTGTAATTGTTATGTAAGTTTACCGAAACAAACAGACCCATTGATTTTCTTCTTTTATAGTCTAAAAACAAACATATCAACCAATGTAATCTTAGCAAGAAATTATAAAATAATATACCTTTACTAAGGTCTGCTTCAGCTATTTCATATTGCTTTAAGCAGTAGTAGAAGTTTGCTCTGTTAAAATATACTGCAGCCCAAAAGGGACAACTATCAACTACATTTGCAAAATCTTCTTCTGCTTCTTCGTATTTCTTTAATATTGTATTTGTAACAGCTCGATTCATGAGAGCATACTCATCTTCTGGATCAAACTGTAAAGCCTTTGAGAAGTAGTCACAGGCCTATAAAATACCAAAGTAATAATAATTTGGATATATTTTAACTGGTAGCTATACAGCAATTTAAAGCACTTTTAATTTAAAATTAAGGCCAGTTGTGTACCAAGAGGGGCAGTGAAAGCATTCCAGTGCAGACAATAAGGAGGTGCACTGTCTGTAAAGAAAGTAAAAAACAATAATAAAACCAACTAGAAGTATGTTTTGCTTTTTACAATCACCATGTGTCAGCAATTCTAAACAATATCAGCAGTAAAATACTCCTCCCTGCAAGGGTGAAATGTTCCCACTACCGCTTCCTCCAACATTCCTGTACACCATTAGAAGTTGTTGTTAGGTGATGTCAAGTCAGTACCGACTCACAGCGACCCTACGTACAACAAAATACTGCCCGATCCTGCACCATCCTCACAATCCTTGCTATATTTGAGCCCATTATTGCAGCCACTGTGTCATTCCATCTCCTTAATGGTCTTCCTCTTTTTTTGCTGACCTTCTTCTTTACCAAGCATGATGTCCTTCTCCAGGGACTGGTCCCTCCTGGTAATATGTCCAAAGCAAGTGAGACAAAGTCTCACCATCCTCACTTCTAAGGAACATTCCGGCTGTACTTCTTCCAAGACAGACTTGTTCATTCGTTCTTCTGGCAGTCCATGTTATATTCAATATTCTTTGCAAACACCATAACTCAAATGCATCAATTCTTCTTCAGTCTTCTTTATTCATTGTCTAGCTTTCACATGCATATAAGGCGACTGAAAATACCATGGCTTGGGTCAGGCACATCTTAGTCCTCAAGGTGACACCTTTGTTTTTAACACTTAAAGAGGTCTTTTACAGCAGATTTGCCCAATGCAATACTGCAATACGTCGCTCGATTTCTTGACTGCTGATTTCATGCGCATTGATTGTGGATCCAAATAAAACAAAATCCTTGACAACTTTGAGCTTTTCTCCATTTATCATGATGTTGTTTATTGGTCCAGTTGTGAGGATTTCTGTTTTCTTTACGTTGAGGTGTAATCCACACTGAAGGCTGTGGTCGTTGATCTTCATCAGTAAGTCCTTCAAGTCTTCACTTTCAGCAAGCAATGATGTGTCATCTGCATATCGCAGGTTGTTACTGGGTCTCCTCCAATCCTGATGCTTCACTCTTCTTCACATAGCCCACTTTCTTGGATTATTTGCTCAGCATACAGATTGAATAAATATGGTGAAAGGCACAACCCTGACGCACACCTTTCCTGATTTTAAACCATGCAGCGTCCCCTTGTTCTGTTCAAACGACTGTCTCTTGGTCTATGTACAGGTTCTGCAGGAGCACAGTTAAGTGTCCTGGAATTCCATTCTTCACAATGTTATCCATAATCTGTTATGATCCACAAAGTTGAATGCCTTTGCATAGTCAATAAAACACAGGTAAACATCTTTCTGGTATTCTCTGCTTTAAGCCAAGATCCATCTGGCATCAGCAATGATATCCCTTTTTCCACGTCCTCTTCCGAATCCTGCTTGAATTTCTGTCAGGTCCCTGTTGATGTACTGCTGCAACTTTTTTTTAAATTATCTATAGCAAAATTTTACTTGCATGTGATATTAATGATATCATTCAATAGATAGTAAAACATAAATTAGAGAAGAAGGCCACAATAAGAAGATAAAATATAAATTAGAAAAACCACATTTTGCATATAAAAACAGTATTAAAGAGATAAATGTATTTTTAAAATAAGATTCTAAACCACACCGAAAGGGATAAAAACTCAGTTATACTATGAAAAGTTATGAGGAAAGAAGGGAGGGAGGGAAAGGATAGAATCAGCTTATAGAGAAGATCAAAGACTCTAGATTATTCACAATTTATCATCAGGCTGGAAGGGCCCTTCACAGTGTGTTCTGTAGACCAGTGGTGGAGAGTTGGCCTGAGGACCATTTGCTACAGGTCTGCAAAGAGATAAGTACATAAATGGAGAGTAAACGAATAGTAACTTCTATAGCATGACACTGCTATGACATCCAAGTATAAGATCATTTTTCCAGCAACTTGTTTTTATTTTAGTAATGTATTGATCTAGAATAAGTTGGAAATTAAAAAGAAAAAAAAATACTGACCCTTCACCATAAGTAGTTTGAGATGCCGATTAGACATTCTACTACCCAAGGCAGGTATTTCTATCCCTAATGGATGAAAATCTGGTTCCTACTTTAAAACTTACCTTAAAAGAAAAGTCATTTTTAACGACTGAGCTTGCTCTCTCCAATTTCTTACCACTCAATTTTTTCCGGACCCACTACTCAAGGCAGGGCCAAGCCTTTCTTCAGAAAGTAATCTGGCTTCTATTTACCTTCCTCTATTCCATGAGTTCTGCTCTTGCTAAAATTACAAATGTCCTCAAGCCTAGTAGATTTTCCAGTTCTTTTCTTCCAGCATATCCCTGTGGCATGCATACTCTTGATCTATTTTACCTTGTTAAAACTCTCTCTGCCCTTGAGACAATGTCTCCCTGGTTTTTCTCCTGCCTCTCTCTCTGATCATTTTCTCTCAGTATCCTTCACTGAACTATTTTCCCTGCTACCTGTACAATAACGCTCCCTAAGGATCTGCCCTCAATTTACTTCCATCAGAGGTGATACAAAACACTGATAGCATAGAGGTTAGGAGCCCAGTCCCTGGAGTCAGATTGCTGGGTTCGAATCCTGTCTGTACCATTTATTAAGTCTATGTCCTTGAGTGAGTTACTAAAGCTGTTTGCCTCAATTTCCTCATGTGTAAAATGGAAGTATAAAAAGAACTGCACTTCCAGTGTTGCTGTAGGATCAAGTGATCTAATACATGTAAAGTACTGAGAACAATATGCAGAACATAGTAGAGGTTCAAGCATGAGAAGAATAGACATTGTTTTCCAGTGTCCAGAAATGATGAGACAACAGTCTTCAGTCAATGCTCCATAAACTTTGCTGCCTCTCTGACTTTTGAGAGGCAATGAGATCAAGATTGTGCTTCCCCTCTCATCCTTGGATGGCAGCTATTCTATGTTAAGAACAGTTAAGTGTAGTTTAAGGATCCCTTGAGATGGTGGCAAAATTGGACATTCGTCTGTGAAGAACTTAAAAAGAATTCACTACTGAAGTGAATGATGGACAAAGAGACGAGGCAAGGGAGTGGCTCAAGGCAAGGCCAAGACTTCCTTCAGAAAGTAATTTAGGCTTCATTTAAATTCATCATTAAATTATCAATAAAAGCTAAATAATTCCACATCACAAAAAATATGACTTCAATCTGGTAGGAGCAAATGTTTACCTCAGCTAAGAGTAAAGAACCCAGTAAAACACCAATAGTGTGCCTAACTTTGAACAATGTAATTTTCATTATAGCTTCCAAAACATATTAGTTAGGAAATGAAAACCTATAAATTGAATGTTACTTGAAGTGCAGGAGTATTAACTAGAGACCAGTTATAGCCCGAAGACACCACAAGGGATAGCCATGATTTTTTAACAATTGATCTAATGTCCTTATTTCTGTAATTAATTAGAAAGCAGAGCCAGTTATTTTAAAAAGTCACCTCAAGTTCATGATAATAAACTAGGGCACCTGCATATAAATTGGAATTTATTCTTTTCTCTTATGGTGGGAAGCATGAAGCTCATCTACATGTGGTTTCAAATCATTAAGTCACAAATTAAAGACAAAAGAAGGGAGAACACAAATCATTAAGTGCTTTAACCCTTTAGAAATTATCTGATCTGTTGAGGGATACTTCCTCAACATATTCAAGAAAAAATTAAGACTCTCAGGAAAAGACAACTTTCGGTGCAGTTAGTGAGACAGAGGCGTAATATGCTGACCATGCTACCTAATTTTAATGTGGATTCTAGACTAATGGCCATGTTTTTTTTTAAAAAAAACATCTTTTTCCTTGGTGGTCAAAACAGGATGTACAACCACATGCCCCAAGGGGTTTTAACCAAGTGACCATCTGTACCCCTCAAAATACCCATACTCTGGAAGAGAAATTCAAGCTGGATTCAGAAGAGGACATGGAACCAGGGATATCATTGCTGATATCAAATGGATCCTGGCTGAAAGCAGAGAATACAAGAAAGATGTTTACCTGTGTTTTATTGACTATGCAAAGGCATTCAACTGTGTGGATCATAAGAATAACACTGCAAAGAATGGGAATCCCAGAACACTTAATTGTGCTCATGAGGAACCTCTATATAGATCAAGAGGCAGTCATTCAAACAGAACAAGGGTATACTGCGTGGCTTAAGTCAGGAAAGGTGTGCGTCAGGGTTGTATCCTTTCACCATACTTATTCAATCTGTATGCTGAGCAAACAATCCGAGAAGCTGGACTATATGAAGAAGAACGGGGCATCAAGATTGGAGGAAGACTCACTAACAACCCGTGATAGGCAGATGACACAACCTTTCCTGCTGGAAGTGAAGAGGACTTGAAGTACTTACTGATGAAGATCTACTTACTGATGAAGACCACAGCCTCCAGTATAGATTACGGCTTAAAGAAAAAAATCCTCACAACCGGACCAATAGCAATATCATGATAAAAGGAGAAAAGATTGAAGTTGTCAAGGATTTCACTTTACCTGGATCCACAATCGACACCCGTGGAAGCAACAGTCAAGAAATCAAAAGATGCATTGCATGGGGCAAATCTGCTGCAAAAGACCTCTTTAAGGTGTTGAAAAGCAAAGGTGTCACCTTGAGGACTAAGGTGTGCCTGACCCAACCCATGGTGTTTTCAATCCCCTCATATGCATGAGAAAGCTGGACAATGAATAAGGGAGACTAAAGAAGAACTGACGCCTTTGAATTATGGTGTTGGCAAAGAATATACCATGGACTACCGAAAGAATGAATGAATCTGTCTTGGAAGTATAGCCAGAATGCTCCTTAGAAGCAAGGATGACGAGACTACCCCATGCATACTTCGGACATGTTATCAAGAGGGATCAGTCACTGCAAAAGGACATCACACT